AGCAGAGAAATCTAAACTAAAGCAGCTATACAATTAATTTTCTAATTGTAAAATAATTTTCAGTTTTAAAAAAAAAACTGTTTCATTACGGGATTGTGAAGATTGTTAAGTTACACATGTGAAATTATGAATCGACCTATATTAGACTACCATTAGAAACCTGGAAGCACTGAAAGACGGCCGTTTCGTTCTGTTATGGGACTCATCAGTGCCTAGCTCCGTGAAGAATCTTCTCCGAGTTCTAGTGGGAAGTAGTGACCAGTGAAGTTCAACCTGTTCGGGTGTAGACAGTAACTACAGAAGACAGTGTATGAAGTTGCACAAGTTAGATATTAATACCATCAGATACCGTCTCAGTGGTCCAGAGGTTAGGCGTTCGCGCACAAGACCGACGGTTCTGGGTTCAAATCCTGTGGGGTGCATGTGTGGTGGATGTGCGCTGCTGATGAGTCCCAAGCCAGGACGAAACTGCCGTCCGGTGCTTCCAGGTTTCTAATGGTGATCTAATATTGGTCGATTTATGATTTCAAAAACTGTTTGCTTAACCTAATGATGTGATTCGTGACCATGAAAAGGTTTTTGTAAATATCGTTTAAAGTTAGTCTTTGACAAAAAAACTATGAAAATCTACAGCCTACACAGTTTTCCAGTACTAAATTAATACATCAGTGCACTGTTAAAATTTATTCTACAAATTTAGTTAATCTTTATTGAATTATCTAAATGAAAAATCCATTTTCGTTTTATTTTACTATTTATTTCCCTATAATTTAGAAACAAATATTGTAAATGAACACAATGAACAAAATGAAAGACATTAAAATGCCGAAAATCCATTTATAAAAAAAGTACACTATTAAATATTTGTTTCTTTGTATGCAATTTGTATCATCCTAATTAATCAAGCAATTTATTTTATTCAATCATTAAAATTACATAAACGAAATTTTTAAGTTACACTGTTTCATTCACATCCATTATTACCATTTAACTTAAACTTTTATATAACTTCCTTTAATCAAGCAAAAAAAATGAGCATTTTGTTTATTCGGATACACTGACAATCGGAAAAAACAAAAAAAACATTTTGTATGCATAAACACGGTGAAAAGATGTGATCAATATATATATTAATTACTCAATAGAAATGAATAAAAAGTAAGAATAAAGAGTAAAGAGAGAAGGATAGAGGGAGAGGAATAGATAGATAGATAGACAGATAGATAGATAGGTAAATGTGTGGATAGATAGATAGATAGATAGATCGATAGATGCCCCATCAGCACAGAGACGCAACTGTCAGTTCAAAACCAATAGTGATAGCAATAATAGAAGTATTAGCAGTAATGGAGAAGATTAGGGAGCGAAGATATGATGTGATTCAAGAAGTATAATTCAGTAAGATAAATTTAGAAGGAGAAAGATAGAGATTATGAGGAATGCTGAAGCTTATTATTTCATGGAACACAAAGAGTGGATGAACCTGCGCCACTGAAAACGATTCTGAGCCATGTCATTCAAGGTCTCTAACCATCGGTGACTATCGTCTCGCGGACCCCAACCAGGTAGCCTACATCTACCAACATGACTCAGTCCACTTGTCAATGACTTCATGAATTTCTGCCATGTTTTGGTCTAGCCGCCCCTAGCTTTCTTCCGACCAACTTTTACACCACAAAACATAGCTCGTCGAGGCAGTCGGTAGTTAGGCATACGTAACACTTGTCCCAACCATCTCAACTGATGGGGTTTCACTACTTCATCTATTGATTTGCCATCCCCACCTAGAACTCATTTCCTAACGACAGCATTGCTTATACGGTTGTCCCAAGATACACGAGCAATGCTTCGGAGACATCGATGATCGAAGACTAGTAACCTACGGAAGTCCTCTACTCTTAACGGCTAAGTCTTGCATCCATACAGTAGGACGAAGCGAACTGCTGCACAGTACACTCGTCCTTTAGTCAGCAAACGGATATCTCGCCTGCGCTATAGGTGACGCAGGATGGCAAAAGCCAGTCGAGTCTTCTGTATCCGAGCTGAGACTTCGTCAATGACCAGGATATCAGCACTGATGAGACTCTTCAGATATGTGAAGTGATCAACACGCTCGACTACTTCACTCCCTATCACTCATTCAGGTGCCGATGCAACCGACTCTTGAGGCAACATTTTGCATTTTGAGGGTGAGATATGTGGATAGATAGATAGATAGATAGATGTGTGGATAGATAGATAAATGGAGAAATGAACTGAATTACACATTTGACCATTCTTTCCAATATGCTTTCTTACTTTTTCGCCTACTTACTCACTGCATCACAACGTTTTTTGGCATCAGTATATGTATCATTTTTTTTCCGCTATGATATTTTGCTATTGCTCATTGTCGTCAACGTTATCATTATTAATAATGATGAGGGTGGGTTTTATTTTTCTGTGGTCAACGAATTGATGAATTTGAATATTTATTATATTTTTTAAAATTTATTATCCATTAAAAATTTCGGAAAATTCCCCAGTGAAATGATTGTATTTCAGTGTTGTTTTTTTTTGGTATTTTGTTTTTGTGAAAAAAATGAATTTTTTTTAATTTTTGTTGGTTATTTGATCTAATTTGAAATTATCAATGGAATATAAACAAAAGTAATTCTGATAGGTTTATATATGTGTATATTATTACTATTGCAGTTCATGCATCAAATATAATTTTCAGGGAAAAGTGATATTTTCTGAGGATTACTGATTGTAAACATGTGTTACAGGGTTGTGAAGATTGGCAAGTTATACATTTTGAAACTATGAATCGATAGATGTTAGATCACTATTAGAAACGGCGGTTTCTTCCTGGTATGGGACTCCTCAGCAGTGCGCAACCATGACTCCTTCACCGCAAAGGATTCAAACCCGGGACCTTCGGTCTTGTGCGCAAACGTCTAACCTCTTGACCACTGAGCCGGTATCTGACGGTGTTAATATCTAACTTCAATCAATTCATGGAGATGCGCAACCTCATACACTGTCTTCGGTAGTTACTGTCTACATCCGAAAAGGTTGAACTTTACTGGTCACTACTTCCCATTAGAACTCGGAGAAGATTCCTTATGAAGCTAGTCACTAGTGAGCACAGGCATTCGCATTACGCGGTTGTGAAGATTGTTAAGTGACACGTTTTGAAACTATGAATCGATCAGTGTTAGACCACCATTAGAAATCTGGAAGCACTGGAAAGTTCTTCCATGTTTGTAATAAATACATACGGACACTCATTAGTATCGAATGTTTGGATTTTACCATTGATCTTTACGACTATCTCATTATCAATATGCTTATCCTGTGCAAATAGCCTTGACATTACCATTAAGTGACAAGCATTATGGGCTGAGATATGTTTAGTTCTATTTGTGACACTTCATCTATATGGTACCTGCATCTTGTATCTGACGATAACTCTACGACACGAATCGATATCTGTTCGCTTCAAATGCCATTATTAAATTCATTTCCAGGATGGGCATTGTTTTTCAACTACAAATGCTTCGTGTAGTCGCTAATTTTATTCATCTCATTCTGTCAAGCAAGCGATTTTATTTTTTGTGTGTTACTGAAGAAATATGTGTCAGTCAACGAAAACAGGAAAAATATTTCACGGAAAATAGGGATGCTTTATCAAAAATATAAATTAAGTGTAGAAAACACGCCTATTCGAAAATTGCATAAGATTTTTTTATCTACTCATAAGTAGCCTAAATTAATCAAGTAAAATTGTTGCGTTTTTCATTTGTCAGTTCAGTTTTGCGATTTTAAACATATTTTTAATAAAATAGATTATTGCTTTTCTACCACTACAAACGTTTTGAGTGGAAAAACTTCAGTTTGTAGGTTTTTTTATATCTTTAAACTTAATTATTGAAATTAATTGGAATTCGTAAATATTTCAAGTAGTTTTTGGTAGATTGGAGTAGTTGCAAATTAATTATGGGGATAAATGTAATCTTAGTTGAAGCAGGAGTGAATTGTATCTCAAAGTAAATTAAATTTTATTTCATAACAATCTTACTTCCATTGCACTTGAGTATGCTTGGTTCTTTTTGTCTGAACATGAATGCTGTTTGCATGAGTGAACTGTTGAGCAGTGCCAAACCGACAGGAAATGGTTTTGTACATTTTTAGGCAAATGATTATGTTTAAATATTATTTTTTTCTTATTGGTGATGAAAGTTTTCAAAAATTCAACGAATATATTTTTCGCAGCATATTTTCCTGAAGGATTTTTCATTCTCAAGGTTCTGTCCTTTCCACCCTATTATTTCTGTTCTAGGTTCTTAAGTGGCAGATTTTTTGTGCCTATGAAGGCTGTTACACTTTAGGTTTCTTAACATTCAATCACAGAACATATCAAGAAAATAATTATTTATGTATAAAATAAGCCATCATCTATGTTGGCAAGTTTCAGCCCAAATATAATCGAGTTTTTTGGAACTCAGATTATGAAGTGATCACTTTTTTTATGGTCGTACCACGAATCAAATCCCAGGTCATTGCATTAGCAGAGGATAGTGTTATAGATAAACTGATAAACGTTATTTACTTGTGGCTACATGATAAATACTGAACTAAATTGATTGTAGTTCAATATGAGTAATGTTTTGATTTTGGACTGAATATAAAAACTTGAACTAACGAATAAAAGTAACAGAATCACTGAAACTTATGAACATCTTCAGTGCTCGATTTAATGAATTATTTTGTATATATGACTTTGAAGTTTTGAATGCTAGTTGTCAATAATTGTATACAAAATATCAAATCATGATGAAAATATGTTTTTTAACATTCACACAATCTTGATCCGATTCATTGAGTTTATCCATTTGTCATTTATAGAAATAACAAAGATATTTGAGCATAAAATCTTGCATCATTATTGTTGAACATTTCTTACTATGTTTATTGTGCTTTCATTTTCGTTTATTTTTGATAATTATTTTCCACAGCTTTACTCATTATTCATGTCCAATGTCAAAGAGAATTGATCAAATCAAATAAATTAATAATTGGTTCATTGATTGAAACAAATTATTGGAGTTTATATCGTTATCCTAATCAATCAACTGTTTGTGATCAATTTATAAATTCCTATTATTTAGATGATTTAAAGGAGACTACAAGATCATCAGTTCTTTCTAGTTCTTCATCATCAACGAGCACATTGGTTGAATCGTCCATGCCATCTTCTTCTTCTTCCACATCTCCTTCATCATCATCATCATCATCATCAACATCAACATCGTTCTCTGAGGGCGCTAATCGTTGGGATCGTAATAAACCAACCAATTGGATGAATACAATTGAATTTGATCCTATTGGATTGATGCAATTACCGAAACAAGATAAATCACATCTATACGATTATAATCAACGTTTAAAAACAGCATTACGCAATCGACAACCAACATTATTCACATTCACTAGTCCATTATATCCTGATAAATATCCACCAAATATTGACTGTATTAAAGTTATTAAAGGTGGGTTGAAAATACTTCCTGTGAATTTTCACTTACTTGTTCAATGTTCAATAAGCAGGTGTGTTTGAATAAATGCAAACTTTTCATTAGCACATTGAATGTAGTTCATTATTATTATGGAGTTTTTTTCAAAAAGTGATTAAACACAGATACACATTTAATCAATTTGTTTTTGATGATTTTGTCAGTTATTCGTTTTAGTTTTTCATGTATTTTTTAATACATCTATCAAGGATGACATTCGCATGCTGGAAAATCAAATGAACACTGAAATGAAACATTATATTATCATGTATATAAAATGTATTCCGACAAGTGTTTATGCTAATCTTACTGATAAAAATTATCGAAATTTTCAGAGTACAAATTAATTTTTTAAAAAAATGTGGTTCAGGTCAATTGAGAAACAAGAGATTTGCCGATGTATCAGGCAGTGAAACAATTGTATATTCAATGTTATAGTTAAGCAGTAGACTATAAGTTAATTCTTATTTTGAAATCGTGAATGAATCATTGTTAGACCTTCATTAGAAACTTGGCAGCGCTGCACGGCTGTTTCGTCCCGGCATGGGACTTATCAGCAGTGCACGGTTATAACTACTGCAGATCGTAGGATTCGAACCCAAGACCTCTGGTTCTGAACGTGAACGCATAACCTGTGGACCACTGGACTGGCATCCAGCAATCTTAGCGTCTAACTGTGATCTGTTTAGGGATTTAATGGGACCTGACCCATTTGTCTTCGGTAGTAAGTGCCTACATCCGACACTGGTTTGAACTCCATTGGTCATGTCTTCTCATAAGAACTCGAAAATTTCCTCAAGAATCTAGTCACTAGTGAGCACATTGTATGATTTTTCATTTACAAATGTTATGAAGGTGATTCATTCATCATTTTAAAGTAAAACTACCATCTTAAAAACATTCTAAATGAAGTATTATGAGTTAATTGTTTTCAAATTCTCTTTTTTTTATTTATTTAGTTCTGATGACACTTAGTTTTCAATTTTTCAAATTGTGTCTTGTCAGTTTTCATTATTGTAATTTATCTGAAAATAAATTCAATTTCGTTTAAAGCAAGATTCATATCATTTCATGATTCCATTAAGTATCAGTGTTGCAGGTACATTTTCCTGTTGAGTACAGCTTAGTAAAAAGTTTAGATCAAACAGGGATGAAATGAGTTTCACTTGAACTCATAGTATCTAATTGCTTACTGTGTGTAAATGTTGATTCGAAGAATATGATAATCTGTTATGTTTTTTGACGTCTATGAAGCATGTTGAATGTCAGTAAGTTGAATGTACAAAAATGTAGTTACATTTTTTTAAAAACTGAATTCTTATTTATACAATGAAAAAGATACTTCACTAATTTATCAATTAAGTAGTATATTCATTAGTTTTGATATACTTATCATCAAAGCAGTCACTGAATGCAATAAAATTATGTAACCAATGTCATTAAGAGGTTGTGGAAATTGTTAACTTTCATTTAAATCAAAAATTGATTTAACATAGAGCATTATTTAAAAGCTGGAATAACTAAACAGCTGTTTCCTTTCAATATGGGACACCTTATCAGTGAGCATCCAGAATCCGGCATGATACAATAAAGCTTGTATTTTATACAAATGGCCATTATTGCTTTACGAGAACAATTCACTAATGTTTTCTGGTAAAATATGTATGCTCATAACCATAAGGTTTGTAATTCGAAATACGCAAAAAACACTTATACTCATTTAAAATATCCGCCGTTAATTATGTTAAAAAATACACCTATAGCAAACCACACAAAAAAACAATCATTTGACTGATTCATTGGTCTAAAAAACATTTTATGTCTTATTAAGGCATCCTATAATAGAACAAAACAGTTGTGTCAATGCTTCATGTCCTCCGCCGGTTCTTCAATGAAGATGAATTCTTGATCTAAACGTCAAGCATTAAGCTTTTCTAAAGTTTCCCAACTCTACATATCTGCTTACTCGTCAAATAATGTATATTATATATATAAAGTTACGATACAATTTATTGATTCTAATCAATACTGACAGGATGCTTATCTACCTAAAATATTTAATTGTAAATGAGTAAACTAGTACAAACAAATTAAAGATAATAATAATAATAATAATAATAATAATGGTAATCATAATGAATAGTCATCATTCTATGATTTGATCAATGTATAAAATATGATTTTTTTTTTCATTAGCCTACCTTAATTTCAAAAACATTTATTGACTCATAAATACATATAAACTAGATTTCATGATTAGTTTCACATATAAGGATGATTTATTCTCTCGATATTAACAAATTAATAACACTTGGTAAATATGACTGCATGGAAATATCGTTGCATGAAAACGTAGACATTTCTAAGTTATGATCATATTTATGTATATTTATATATGTATAGAGAGATGTTTTTTAGAGAATGTGATAGCAATTGTTAATCGTTTCAATGTATGTGTAAATCGTTTAACTAACTGTTTAGCATTATAAATTTATTACTGTTTTGTTAGAATGATATCACCATTTTTAGTAATTTTTGTGATGATCTGTTTTTTATGAGATGGATTAATGACCTTTATTGTACAAGAGATAATACTGATTTTAGGGATTACGATCATCAACGTGTATTTATTTTTAAATCCAATGAGTTTGTTATTATCTATAGGCATAAATACTTTCACATTGACTGTATACACGTATTTATAAACATGTATATATAAAAAATTTATATATACATCGTAATTTTATGGATAAACTGAGTTTTTCCTTGATTTAATATAGTTAATAAATTGTAAATAGTATCTATCACTCGTTGTTGGTCATTATTTTAGTTGTTTGAATGAAACTACTATTTTATATTAAAGTAGTAATCACAAAATGTGTTCCAAAAATTAAAAATATCTTAGTGAACAGTTTTGTCTTCAAGTTTTATAGTTGCAAATACAAAGATACTGTGTTAAATTATATAGTATATTAGAACATACGTACTGAAATATCAAAATTTAATGTGTGCTGTAGTAGATGTAAGTTGAAAAAAACTGAATGGGTAGCCTAAACAAGTCATTAACTGTTAATTTAAGCCGTGTCAGTGCATAAAGACTACTTAGTTTGAGTCCATAAGACAACCATGATCAGTGGTTGTCAGTGTTATATAATATATGATTAGGAGTTATTCGCAGTGATCTAAATTTTTAGTCCCAATTCGTTACTTTTTTCACAAACTGCAAAAGTTGTATGATAATCTGGTCTAGTACATACTTGTATTTATATATTTTTAATTATTTATATTCAGTAAGACACTAATTCCCTTTTTCTCAATACCTATGTAAACCTTTATATAATTTTGTAAGCTTTAAAAAGTAAAACATCCTGACAATTCTCTTTAAATGATAGCCTCACAAGAAGATCAACAAATTGTTCTGGATTTTCGTGGACCTTTTCAATTTGAACCATCAGCTGATTGTATCAATGATTATTTGGAAGTACGTGATGGTGAATATGGATTCTCACCGTTAATTGGTCGATTTTGTTCAGATAATCGTCAATTACATTCAATTAAATCAACTGGTCAATGGCTACGATTACGTTTTCATTCAGATTTTAGTATTGAAAAAGCTGGATTTCAAGCTGTTTATTATTTTCATAAAATGACAAGTATGTTACAGCATAGAAAAAAGAATATTTCGAGTGTTTTCTTTTTAAAAAAATTTTATCTTTGCAAAACATGATAAGGATTTGGAAGAATGGTAGCGTGAAAAAAGTTTGTATTTAAGTGGGTTATTTTCAATTAAGTTACTTTCTGTAAGCTGTTTGGTTTAATTATGAATGCGTCATTGTTGTTAGAACTAATAAGAAGTGGTCATTCGGAAAAAGAATACTAAAAAGGTCACAATAATTGTCAGGCGACTGTTACAACAAAGTTCTGTTGGAAGAAAAAATTGAATTAGTTACCAATTATCACAGGTCTATATCGTTAAACGAATTTTAAACTTTTCATTTGGCTGAAATATAAAATGATTTGGAATTTATTGAGGAAATTGAAATCGTGCAACTAAACGATTATACAATAAACGAAAGATAATATTTAATTGTGAATCGTATCTCAGTTTAATGATAATGCTTGTACCTTGATTGAAATATCAAGGTAGTCCCAACAGGATGTTGTGCTAGACTGATCGATAGAAGTTCCAATCATCAGCGAGAAGACTGGAACAACTAATGCGAATAAGTTAAACTTCACTCCGTTGTACAAACCAGTGGCTTTACAGACTCATTAGCTAATTAGATAGCATGATGGCTCTTGAAGCATACTGTACTGGGTTCGCGTCTGTGAATAAACAACTCTGCAATGAAGGTCTATTCGGCCGGCAAGTCCTAAATAGGAAAAAACACGTGTCTTGGTTACCACTACCAGCCACCATCCATTTCTGTCAAATATATGAACTCTTCAAATAGTTTTGATGCTGTAATAGATTGAAGTCAATTGTATGACCTAATTTATTATGCTAGTTTCATGTTGTCAATAATAATATTCTCTAAAAGTAAGCTAATTGAACTGTAAATTATGATACAACTAGAGAAAGGTAACTGTTCGATTAAAAGATTTTAAGCATTTGAAGAAACTTTTTGAATTACAAGATGTAATCTGAATGCATTATTCTATCGTTGTACCAAAAAGCCGCTAAATTAGTTTTCTATTAGAGTTATGGAGATTAGTGTTTTTCTACACATTTGAAATCATCAATCAATCATTGTTAGACCACCATTAGAAACGTGGAAGCACTGAACGACCGTTTCTTCCTGGTATGAGACTCATCAGTAGTGCGCATCCATGACTCCTGCACATCGCAGGATTCGAACCCGGGACCTTCGGTTATTGTGAGCGAACGCCTGACGATTGGAACACTGGACCGGCATCACACATTTGTTTTCGGTAGTCACTGCCTACACCCAACAGGGCTGAATTCCACTAGTCACGTCTTATCACTAGAATTTTGAGAAATAATACTAAAATAGTATATTTTATTTCTGAGCATCAATAGAAACCATGGAGTGGCTAATGTCTCACTTTAAACTCATTAATTGCATATGCCAGCTATATACTCCACTGTTGGTATACATCCAGAAACATGAACCCATCAGTTTTCTTCACAAAGTGATTTACCAAGTTCAGACAATCAAATAGGTTGAGATAATTTTTTTCGACAGAGTACTTACTACCAGTCAGGAATTGTTGTATAAATATTTGAAAATGTCGAGATCATTAGAAAGTAATTTAGTCAACGATTTTTCAACTCAACTTTTATAACATTGAGATTGAATATTATCATTGAATATTGAAATGTCAGAAAAGTGGTTTTTTCTTAGCTAAATTGTTTATCTAAAATCATAGTTAATAAATGGCTGAATGAATTGATTTTTCAATTATGATATGCTTAAATGTTAATCAACCACTGAAAATTGTCTACAGACTGTTTTGTAATTATATAACCGTTGAAAGGTAAATATTACCAAATAGTTATTTGCGTACTTACATTAAAACGAATTCTCATAATGGATCAAATTCATGATGTTCAATTCCCTTAGTAGTAGACCTACACACTAAACTAGCGTTCAATGGTTAACATAGCTAACTTCAGTCAACTTGGTACATTGCATAACTAACTACCCTCCTACTTCATATGTGTGTAACTACTACTTCACATGGAATAATGATTGTTGATGTACATTACAAACATATATAGAGTATAATTGAAAACTCAATGTTATTTCCCAACTTATATTGTTTACCGAACAGCTTTAAAGTGCATTTCATGCATATTCATGAATATTTACTTGAGTTCAATAGTTTAAGTAAGATTGACTAATCAATATCATAGCTACAAGAAGATATCTTAGTAAAAAAGAAGTATTTTGATCGAAATATGAGAAAATGTAGTTGATCTCAAAAATGTGGTGTATTTGCGTTAGACATTTCGAACAATCTGGTCACACATATAATTGTATTAATTTGTCTGAGAAAATATGTGTATAGTAATGCACGATTTAAAAAGAGTTCAGCTTTACATTCTCAGAAGCGAAATTTAAAACAATTAGTCACTTTTAGAAATTTTTTAAAGAACAATGAGAACAATGATCGGAAAAAATTATGCATTACTACACACATACTTCATAGACAGTTTTATACACGTTTATGTAGGACCCGACTTTTCGAAATGTATAGTGTAAATACATCACATTTTTCAGAAAAAATGCGTCTTCTAATTGTTCTATCCAAAAAATAAGTACTCAAAACACTTTACCCTGTTTAAAATTTTGTTTTAAGAAAAAAATTATGATAAATAAAGTTATTTATTTCATCGAAACATAAAATAGATTTTACATGGAATCAGTCCAATAAACACTGTGAACAGAGATTACGGGAACCTTTGAGTCTCTAGTTTACTAGGTCAGGATCCGATAATTTATATTTTTTGAAACCATGAATCGACCAATGTTAGACCACCATTAGAGACCTGGAAGCACTGGACGGCCGTTTCGTCCTGGCATGGGACTCCTCAACAGTGCGCATCCACGACTCCTGCACCCCGCAGGATTGGAACCCAGGACCTTCGGTATTGTGCGCGAACGCCCTAACCGTTACACCACTGAGCCGGTATCTAACGGCGTTAACGTCTAACTTGATCAAACTCACGGAGTTGCTCAACCTCATACACAGTCTTCGGTAGATACTGCCTACGCCCGAACAGGTAGAAATTCACTGGTCACGTCTTCCCACTAGAACTTGGAGAAGATTCCTCACGAAGCTAGTCATCAGTGAGCACAGGTAGTTTGCATTACGGGGTTGTGAAGATTGTTAAGTTACACATTTTTTGAAACCATGAATCAATACCGAAGGTCCTGGGTTCGAATCCTGCGAGGAGCAGGAGTTGTGGATGCTCACTGCTGAGGAGTCTCATACCAGGACGAAACGGCCTTCCAGTGCTTCCAGGTTTCTAATGGCGGTCTAAATTGATCGATTCATGGTTTCAAAAAAATGTGTAACTTAACAAACTTCACAACCCCGTAATGCAAATAATTTATATGTTTAGTTACAATCCATTAACATTATTTTTGAAACTATTTTCAATGTCATCAATGAATCATAGCTCTTTTCATAACGATACTGTTGGTATGGCCTTATATGTGAAAATTCCTAATTAGTTTAGTTTACCCATGTCAAGTATGAGTCAATTACTTACAAAAGTGAACTGACCTTTATTAATTTCTATTTTTTTTGTAGATCAGTTTTTAGAAGTCTTTTAAAATTTATATTTATCTTTTCTAACTGTTTATTTGAATTCAATATTTCTTGGTCGTTTTATATAGTTTTACCAGTAAACTCTTAACATGACGTTTTCACATCTAAAGTATTCCATACATGAATGGGATACTTTTTCATGAATGAATGATCGATTACAACAGAGTTTATATGGTTCGGTGCGGGCAAATCAGTTCAAGGTGATATCCTTTAGTTCATTAAATCCCTAATCTTGTGGATAATAGTTGTTTGAGCTGAAGCATTTATACATTATATATCATTTCTAATTGATAAGATGTGTAAAAATTTTTGCCTAGTAGTCTTTTCTTACCTTACTGGAGAATGATCAGTTCATGAGATAATTTCCGCCAATTATCTACAGTATTCAATCATGTTTGTTTTATGTTCATAGTCATAGTTATAAAAAATCCATACATGTGGTCACTGAAATTGTATCTAATTTCCAATCATTTGGGGGTGTTTATATCAAACATACCTCCATGAAAGAGCAATTATCAATAAATATTTTTATTTCATGAAATCATGCTCAAACATCCTTTTTTAACACTTGGTATTACTTTTTTTCAGATAAAGATGAACCATTACCACAAAAACGTAAGTTAATGATTCTATTGGCCTGTCGTAAAATATTATATCATCTCTAGCTAATTAGTCCTTCCTTGCAATGATCAGTTCAGTTATAGATTTAGTCATCTGCTTTAATTTTCAATTCATTATTGTTTCAAACATATATTTACTACCATAAGGTTTCCATTAATTTCAAAGTGCTTTACTTAACTAATTATTTTTTATTAAGCGCACACACAGCCTTATGCGTTTTATGCAGTGATTACAATCGAACAACGATTTAAGTATCGAGGCACTGTAGAAGTGTCATTATGATGGTTTGTTGATTAGCATAGAATTCATACATCATGATGAAAAGTGGTGTAATGGGGTGAAGATTTATAGTAAATATGTGAATATCAGTTACTTGTTCCTCCAACCACTGAGATATTTCATCAAGTTACCCGAAACAACAAGAAGCGAACGAAAACAGACTAGCAGGTTTATTCTAGCTTGTTACAGAGACATTGGATATAATTGTGTTCATGAAATGGATAACCTATGCGGACACGTTTACGAAACGTTTATGACCTATCACCTTACAAGATTCATTATGTATTGAAAAGAACGAAGGTTATTCAAACGTTGGTACCTGAAATGTTAACCTGTAGCTGCCAATCACCGTAGAGTAAGGTGGATAATCTTCAATCCCTTCTGCTTAAACAATGACCTGTATTTCTAGACTATGTTTCTGTCTTTAACTCTATCCTAATATCACTGCGACTAAACAAATCTGCTAACATCAGCACCCACATATAGATAACCAACTAATTTTATCTTTATCTATCTGGAGGAAAGTGTTCATCGACCTAACTGACTCAAAGTGTGCCACAAACAGCTGTTGTTTTCTGACTGTTTTCTTCATCTTTTCGCATGATCTTACTTCTAGGGAAAACACTTTTGTGAAGTACACTGATGATTTCATTGTAGACACACTCATTTCTATCTCTTCACTTGCCTTTGATATGTGTGAGTTATTGTAACTCAATAAACGATGGTCCGTTGTCGATGGTCTCACATTGAATCCTTCTAAATGTCAAATTGTCAATTTTAATCTGAAACATAAGGAGGACTTAAATACCCTGTAAAGGGTATTCTGTTGAAGATTTCATGATAGAATGCTTTAAAGGTCATGCTACGCTGTGAGCCGTAATGACGGCAGTTAGCAACATGTAGTAAGAATCTTTTCGATGTCACAATGAACACGGTTGTAGATAGACGTTTGTAATTTTGTAAACCTTTGGCGAGTGTTTTCTTATCAGATACTAACCGTCTACATTATTCACAACTTCTTGTATACCTTCGGTTGAACGAGACGACAATAGATTAAAAATCCAAGTTCTCTAGAAAAGGTATAAAAACTGCATAACATCTTGTGTAGCAAGGAATGAGGGCTGATCTAGTTAAAAACGTGTATTTATAAACAAGAAACCAATTTGGCCTTTATATAGGTGTATGTCTTCTTAAAAAACAGGTCATTTAATCCCAGATAGTTTATCTGCTTAATTCTTGTATATATGTATTCAGTTATCGATTTATTTTGTAAAATAAATTTGTTGAAATACTTAATGGTGAGAATTCCATGTTGTGTTAAACATGTAATACTGAATAGTGCCGTTACCAGTAGAACTTCTTGGGTTTAAATATTGCTAAACCTACTTCTGTTTAAGTAACGAATTATTATTATTAGTTCTTACACTTGGGGTATGGCTCATACCAAAGTATCTGTTGAACGCGTTGTTTCGAATCTTATAAAGAACATCGATTCGGTCATAATTGTAGTTAGGTGTTAACAAGCATTGTTATCTAGCAAAAAAAACCTAAAGCCAGAGCTTCCTATCGGATATTCAACATAAAAGTAAAGTCTCACTGATGTTAAATCATTTAGGTAGCTGCCCAATGGCAACTTGATTGGTTAACTCTTATCAACACCAAGGGCTAGACAAATAACGATATTATCGCCCACTACATATTAATCATACAATAAGGATTCTTAATCTTACAGTAGGCTGATTCAATTTAAACAACAACGTGAAATATCTTAACATTTTCATTATATTTTATCACTTATATATGAAAAACAACTATCTGATATATGAACTTGATTATTTATCTGTATCGATTTTTACAGCAATCATTCCAACCACAATTATTATCGATAATGAATTCATATTCGAAACAATAAATTTAATGAAACTGTGGGATGATTACACAGAGAAATTAATCAAAACTAAATCTCATCCAATCGATCGATCGATTGAATTTATTATTGATTTTCGAACAAATCAAAGTGATTTGGTATGAGAATGTATTTTCTTTTATTATGATTTCGTGATTTACTTTTGGTCTACTTTGACAATTATGTTATAGAATTATTCAGCTTAGATAATGTGTTCATGTGAGGGTATATATATATATATATATATATATATATATATATATATATATATATATATATATATATATATATAATTCAATTAGGTACTCAACAGGTAAAAGAATTGACTCTGGAATGAACTAGAAAACGTAGAGACTGTGCGTTTTTGTTGTGGGTTTATTTCAATGAATAATATTGTCTTTAAAAAAAATGTATTAGAAATCATCTATCGAAATTTCAGTAAATGAAACCAAAAAGTTGGACATATTTTACAGAACAAAAAGACGCTTAGTTAGGTCAATTTGATATTTATCAGTTTGAAGTCAAACAATCCGTAAATGATACTGACAAGTGTATACTGTAAGATCCATTTTGTTTGTGAAAATCCCTCCATGTATTTATTTGTAATTTGTTCATATTGATTCCTTTAGTTGTACATTTTGTTAGTCTGTTCGATTCCATTTGAGATGATAATATTTGTATTTTATTATAGTTTCTATTTCTTTTGCCTTCACTGAGTTTCTATGTTTCTTTCTAAACTGCATTTATATTGTTTAAGCTGATACTTAGTCATGGCAACAGCCATATTGATTTGTGCCTCCTTTGATTGAGTTACTTGTATTGACTGGGATCGTGCATTTTGATTGCGAATTGAATCATCGTTTCAGAAATAAGAAGCTCTCCGTGTTATAAAGCAACCAAATATTATCGTAGAACGAATCTGTTGATTTGAATAATTGAACAATTGTTGGTGGAGAATAACTGAGTGATAATATTTGTTTAGGGTAATAATGTATATTTATATTTATGATGAATATTAGAACTGTCATTTAGCGAAATCACTTATTTTAGTTTCAACTGGGTAAGGTGCGCATCTAAACTACCTAGACAGTTATTCCTCAGTCCAAAACTCAGTTTGGATCCTTTATATACTCTCCATCAAGTTTCGCCTCCACTATCTTTAGTGGTGACCGAGTCGCGATCGACTATGATCGCCACTAAATGTTCCATACTATCCTGTCACTTAGATTAAAATAAATCCATGTTTGAATTTTTTTATTGAAAGAGAAAGTGGGCATTACATAGAGAGCAGCACGTTATGAAAAATGGCAGCAACGCGAAAAGTGTTTTTGGTACAGTTAAACAAAACGAGTACAATAATGTTTATTTTTCACTAATCGCGTTTTCTTCATAGAAGTGTTCCACTACATATCTAAGGAACATATAGAAAAAATATCAATGATTGAATTCATGTCTAAATATTTCGATTCAGTTAGCTGATACAAAATTTCTTCCCGGTTACTTTTAATTTTCTCAATTAATTAACTTCATGCTACTAGAAATCTCACTTAATACATAAACTGTAGATGTAGAAGTTTCTTGAACGTCTCTTCAACATTTAAATGTTCATTATTTTAAAATCAGTTATTTATACTTTATCCGAATATTATCTCATTTATGATAAAATTGATTGATATGATTAATAAATACCTTATAAGTATGCATACACTGAACTAACTTCATTTTAACTGCTATTTTTTTATTTCAATATATACATATGTACAGATGCTAATGATTCATTTGAAATTTGTCAAATTTCAAATAATCGATTCAGAATGTAAAAATAATCTCATTGAAATTTATGATGAATTCTTTATATCACATCATGATACAATCTTACCAATTCCATCTGTATTATTTAAAAAAAGTAAAACTCGTCAAAAATTTATCAATGAACAATTTACACCAAAAATAATACAAGCATGTAATCGACCATATTTAGAACCATTTATACATAAATTAGGTCGTGGTATTGTACGCATACTGATATCACCGGAATTACACTCAACCGAATCGGTTGATGAAGAATATACAACACATATAAACACAACGAAACCGATTACAAAATTACCTGAAATTAAAATTATTGCTACAGTACTTAAAAAAGGTAAATTGCTTATAATAATATTTTGCATAGACATTTTTTTTTTTTCATTTTTATAAAACCAATATTATGTTATTTTAATGTTACTACTAACTAGATTTCAGCGACCGAATTAATCTTGTGATATTAGGTAGGTTTTATATATGATTTGATATCTCATTGTTTGTACCATTATTATTATTATTTCTTCAGTTAGAAATGCTCCTTGATTGACATAAAAGGAGTTTTTTTTAAAAACTCTTGGGAAATTGATAATTTCTTGAAAATTCGAATGAAATAAACTTGATCTAAAGCATTAAACTTATCTTTCAACTAAATTACGGTTTATGGTGAGAAGAATACTACTTATTAAGAAGCTATTAATATTGTTAATTCAGTGGGTGATCTATCAGAGAATACCTGAGTATATCGCATGTTATTGTAAGGCTACCTAGTAAGTAAGTAATGAAAGTTGAAATAGGCTATTCTATATGTGAATTAATACTCTAGACAAGATTATTGTCTGCCTATCTCTTTTTGTAATAGTCCTTATTATTTATTTCGTTAAGCTTTTCAAGATGTTTTTATCTTAAGCCTTTCCAAACTGGGTTATTCGGCTGGTAGAAAGAAGGATTAGTTACAACGTTGAACCTGAAACAAAAAAGTGGATAGCCAACTTCTTTTTATCATTTTGGCTCATAGTCGACCGTTAGACTAAAATTATTTTCCAGTTCACTTTACAGACGTGTAAACAGACTACATTTATCTATACGACTACAATTAAGGCCTACTATATTAGTCACAGATTGATCTTAGTTAGTGCGATTGTTCATTCCTGCTGTAGGATTCCTCAACAGCGTTCGAGGACAATCCCACGAGGGGTTAATTAGAAGACCTTCATAACTCGCAAGGAACACTATCTCCACTAAATCGCCCAAACTAAATTATAGTACATAATTTAAAAAAAATACGAACATACATTTGTCAAATTAAAACTCCTATTATATTAGGTGATAACATATTTACTGTTTATTGTCAAAGACAATAGAAATTCAGACACGTTTAACAGGTATTAACCTGATAACTATTGTTCTCAATCTATCTCACTTTTTTACACAAACACGTGAAAGTATTTTAATTTTCGTCAACTATACACTAAAGTTGTTTCAGTTTTAAATCAAATAAACAGAATATAGGAAATAAATGGATTTATATTAAATCTTTGCTCTGTGGCAGTTTAGCATAGTGCCAATTAGATATAAGCGCATATTTTATGCATTAATTTAAAACTGTTTAAAACTAATCTAGTTTCTGTACAGTGTACAGATCAAATCACACATTGAACAATGAACAATTTCGATTATTCTCAAAAATAACGGTCGTTTATCATATTCAATGCTTGAATTATTGTATTTTCAAACTAATTTATTATTTAGCTCTTTGTGAAGATGATTGGGTGCCTTGTGTACAACCAACAGATTATATTGCTTATAAAGAATATTTCAATTTAACTGTACGATCAAGAAATTCTGACAAACAAATCAATAATAACAATAATAACATTGATCAGAGTAATGTTGATAAACAAAATGTAAAATTTGTCAAATCTCATACTACAAAATCACCAATTATGACAACTGTAAAACATACAAAACTAATTACAAATCCTATTGTGTTACAACATCATTCAACATTGCCTAAAATAATTTATTGTTTGTCATCAAATTTAATTTGTAACAATCGTATCAATTGTCCAAATGGTGAAGATGAGAAAATGTGTCCACGTCCACCAGGTGGTTTAGAAGCATTTGATATGCCTGTACATAAACATGATTCAATAATAGATGGTAAGTATTGATCATTGAATGTGTCAATGTTTCAATGAATAGTGAAATGAAAATTTTTTACTGTTTATCACATTACAATGGATTAGTTTTTTTTGTATTTCATATTGTAGGAGCTGAATAATATTCAACATGCAGGTTAACTATTGACTATTCAATATTTTTCTAAAAGTTGAAAGACTTGAACCTCGTTGAATCTGATTTTTATTTAAGAACTCATTAACTAGAATGAAATAGTTCCTAGGTTTTATTTAAATGATTGCTCATGTTACAAATCATGAAATTCAGAAACTACTATCATTGAAATAGAAATGCTTTTACTGACATTTAATTTTAACAAATCATAAAAATAGAATTAACAAATGAACGATAATGAATGTTGAAATCTATTGAAATTTGAGTCAAAAAACAAAAGAAATATTTTAATAATAGTTGGATTTGTTGACTTTTTCAAAGTTTTAAGTTTTCACATAAATGTATTATATAATTAGTCGGTTTATAGTGAACGAGAACACAGGTGGGGCAACCGGACTGTATTTACGAAAATTACAGAGTTGGAAAACCATATCGTAAATCGTTAATTTGCAAAATATCAGTTCATCATATCGAACTGGACTGTTCCTGTTGCAAAACATCAATCCATTGTCACTATTCATGCGTTTCATACAAATTCCATTGTTTTCTAACTCTTCCTTTCTTGATCTTCCCCCCATATTATGCTACCAGACTTTACGTTGACACTCCCGTCATATACTAGTTATAAGTAGTTCGCACCACAGCACCACACTCGTCCCCCCTCCGAGCCGTTAGATACCGGCTCAGTGGTCCAATGGTTAGGCGTACGCCTACAATACCAAAGGTCCTTTGTTCGAATCCTGCGAGGAGCAGGAGTCGTGGATGCGCACTGCTGATGAGTCTTATACCAGGACGAAACGGCCGTCCAGTGCTTCCATGTTTCTAATGGTGATCTAACAATGATTGATTGATGATTTCAAATGTGTAAAAACACAAACCTCCGAAACTCTGCCCCAAAAGATTAATTGATAGCCTAGTAAACGATTTTAGGTACATATATCTTCTAGGTGTATGAATATTTCAGGAAAAACCTTCTTCATTCAGATTTGAATGAATATAAAGCATAAACGTATATACATACGCGCTAAAATAAATGGTTTGACACTACTCATGATACCAGTAAATACTGCAAATCTCATAGTGAAACATTGCATTTGTTAACATATTCCCCTTCTTGTCTATCGTTTGGGAAAAAAAGTGATAGTTGGAACCAATAAAATTTGTGTATTTAGTATTTTAAGGATCAATAAACTAGTGTATTATATATTTTACCCGGCATTGTAACTTCAACCATCGATAACTTGTATGTCAACAATAAGAAAGTAAAATTTGGAAATTCAATTTTAACAATGAAACCGAAAGTGTAAATTTTCAGATACTGCTTAAACTAAATTACAGAATAGAACTACACTCAAAGCAAATTACATTTTAATTTACTTGTTGTGATTCAATGTATAATAGTCAGTGATAAAAAACTCTAGGCAATCATATTTTTAACTCATAACAACACTAGCCCAACTTTTATTATATAAATTAAGTCTTTTTCTTTCATTACAACGAATAATCCAAAATGAGGAGTTTGATTATTCAGATAAAAGCTATTATTCCACTTATATTTTATTATCTCTTAACTGTTTAATGTTTTATAACTAGGCAGTACTTTATATTGGGGCACAGTTTTGGAGGTTTGCGTTTTTACACATTTGAAATCATTAATCAATCATCATTGTTAGACCACCATTAGAAACCTGGAAGCACTGGACGGCTGTTTCATCCTGGTATGGGACTACTCAGCAGTGCGCATCCAAAAAACCTGCACCCCACAGGATTCGAACCCAGGACCCGAACCTGTTCCGGTGTAGACAGTAACCGCCGAAGACTGTGTATGAGGTTGCGCAACTCCGTGAATTGATCAAGTTAGACATCAACACGGTTAGATACCGGCTCAGTGGTCCAATGGTTAGGCGTACGCCTACAATACCAAAGGTCCTTTGTTCGAATCCTGCGAGGAGCAGGAGTCGTGGATGCGCACTGCTGATGAGTCTTATACCAGGACGAAACGGCCGTCCAGTGCTTCCATGTTTCTAATGGTGATCTAACAATGATTGATTGATGATTTCAAATGTGTAAAAACACAAACCTCCGAAACTCTGCCCAAAAAGATTAATTGATAGCCTAGTAAACGATTTTAGGTACATATATCTTCTAGGTGTATGAATATTTCAGGAAAAACCTTCTTCATTCAGATTTGAATGAATATAAAGCATAAACGTATATACATACGCGCTAAAATAAATGGTTTGACACTACTCATGATACCAGTAAATACTGCAAATCTCATAGTGAAACACTGCATTTGTTAACATAATCTCCTTCTTGTCTATCGTTTGGGAAAAAAAAGTGATAGTTGAAACCAATAAAATTTGTGTATTTAGTATTTTAAGGATCAATAAACTAGTGTATTATGTATTTTACAAGGCATTGTAACTTCAACCATCGATAACTTGTATGTCAACAATAAGAAAGTAAAATTTAGAAATTCAAGGTGCTTAAAATGCATGAAATCAATTTTAACAATGAAACCGAAAGGGTAAATTTTCAAATACTGCTTAAACTAAATTACAGAATAGAACTACACTCAAAGCAAATTACATTTTAATTTACTTGTTGTGATTCAATGCATAATAGTCGGTGATAAAAAACTCTAGGCAATCATATCTTTAACTCATAACAACACTAGCCCAACTTTTATTATATAAATTAAGTCTTTTTCTTACATTACAAAGAATAATCAAAAATGAGGAGTTTGATTATTCAGATAAAAGCTATTATTCCACTTATATATTTTATTGTCTCTTAAATGTTAAATATTTTATAACTAGGCAGTACTTTATATTGGGGCACAGTTTTGGAGGTTTGATGATTGAATAATGATTTCAAATGTGTAAAAACGCAAACCTCCAAAACTGTGCCCCAATATATCGTAACAGAGCTCACTAGTGACTAGCTTCGTGAGGAAATTCTCGGAGTTCTAGTTGAGAAGACGTGACCAGTGGAGTTCAACCCTGTCGGGTGTAGGCAGTAACTACCAAAGACAAATGGGTGAGGTCGCGCAAAATCCCTAGATCAATCAGAGTTAGACATTAACACCGTTGGATGCCGGCCCAGTGGTCCGATGGTAAGACGTTCGCCTACAATGCCAAAGGTCCCGGGTTCGAATCCTGCGAGGAGCGGGAGTCGTGGATGCGCACTGCTGAGGAGTCCCATACTAGGACGAAACGGCCGTCCAGTGCTTCCAGGTTTCTAATGGTGGTCTAACAATGATGATTGATTAATGATTTCAAATGTGTAGGCAGTACTTCTTGGTTGGCTGATAGAACGCTCAACGCCGTCAGTATAGTGTGCTTTTATTGATAATAAACCTATCATTATTATTCCATTATAATTTACATTTTGCTTTTTGTAAATTTATTGTTCAAAAAATAGTACACGTTTTTAAATTTTTGTTTTTTTGTTTGTTTATAGACTTATATATTCAAACAACTGAACAAATGTCAACAACCGGAAAATTAGATAGTTTATCATCAACCACTGAAGATGATGATGATGAATTTCGTCATCATACACCAATTATCGCTGGTCTTTTAGGTTTTTGTGCTATTTGTGGTCTTATTTCAGCTGGCATTACTTTGGTGAATCGATCGAAAAAACAGAAACATCCCAATTTTGGCAGTGTTTGTAATAGTATTCTATTTGAATCTGGCACATCATTGATTACAGCATTAGACTCATCAAGTTCATTGCCTAATTTAAAATCGTTACAAATTAATGATTGTAAATGTGAAACAATGAATTATATGGATGATTTAAATCAAAAATCTCAATATAAAGAATTACCATTCAATGTTCAAAATGTTACTACTATAGGGATATTTATGTCAACGACAACATTAACAACTACAACAACCAATGTAACTGATACATTAAAACAAGATGATAATAAATCATTACAGACTTCATCATCAAAATGTACTTATTTAAAGTGTATAAATGTATGTTCAAGTGACAATATAAAAACGCCAACTTTAAGTAAACAAATAAAATCAACAGTTGGTGATAATGATGACGACTATGATAATGATGATGATGATGATGATGATGATGATGATGATGATGACGATGATGCTGATGATGATGATGAAGAGGTTGACAAACAAGAACAAACAAATAAAATTGATCATTCAATAAAACATAATTTAGAATCAACAACTAATGGTTTAGCTGAAATATTTGATCGTGCCACAAAACCTTTAGGTTATATACATAAATTAGATTCAAGTCCATCATGGAATCAAGTCATCAATCATCATTCCAATACAATACATCAATTAAGAGAAACACAAAAAACAAGATCAATGCATAATTCATACAATTTAAATGATTATCCTACGAATCGTAGTCTTGGACAATTACCAAATACACTAGTTATACCTGTAGATAAATTATCAAAAATTTGTCATTCTTCTACAATGAAACAATACAATATGCCAAAATCATATTTTAAGTCAAAAGTTAGTCGTTCAGATCCTTTTTCTTTAAAAGAACAGTCAAGATTTCAAAACACCAATGATGGTCGTCTAAATCAATATGAACATTTACAATTTGGTAAGTAGATGGTGATTTGAAAGAAAAAGAGATCTTTAATTTTATGAATCGATTTCTTCATAGAGGACTAACGTCTGATGAAAAAGCTGTTTGAACCAATGTTACAACATTCTATTTTCACCTATGATGAGTGTATTATCAGTGCTGGTGGTTTGGTGTCTGACGAAATCTCGGTATGGAAACAGAAGTCTGTACTGGCTTTTGCCAACTTGTGTCAATTATAGCGTAGGCAGGTTATCGGTCTACTAACTAACTAAAGGACGAGTCTTCTGTGCAGCATTCTGCTCTGTCCTACATTACGGGTGTGAAACATAGTCATCAACGGTAGACAATATTCGTAGTTTACTACTATTCGATCATAGGTGTCTTAGAAACATTGCTCGTATATCCTTAGACCATCAAGCAGTTAATGCTGGGGTTAGGAAACGGGTACAAGGTAAGGATAGTAGATCAATAGATGAAGTAGTGAACTTTCATTAGTTAAGGTGGTTGGGAAATGTGTTGTGTATGCCTAACCACCGATGAGCGATTTTATCTGATGTAGGAGTAGGCTGGAAGAAAACCAAACGAAGACATGGCTAAATATGGTGCAGATGCATTCACCCTTTGTCTTCGAGCAAATTCTAATCTACTGAAATTCTCATGACCGTTTTTCTCCTTTTAAATTTGTTTCACTGGGATACGCCTCTCGATTTGTATTTTCGATCCCTAATCTTTTCATTACTGCTTATATTGTCACAACTTCAACTACTATGAAATGTGAACTGACGATTCGATTTCTTTGTGTTAATGTGTTATGGCAGCTTGAATTGATGTATGAACGTACCAAGTTCTACGTTGTATCTGGCTGACTGACTGAACAGCATTCTATAGTTACACATTTAACAAGTACTGCTTTATGTAGTCGATTGTAAAACACTTACTTACTTACTCACGCCTGTTACCCCCAACGGATCACAGGCCGCCGACCAGTTTTCTCCAACCAAATCTGTTCTGGGCTTCACTTTCCAATTCTTTTCAATGTTTGTTCATTCCTCTCATATCTTTCTCTATTTCTCGGCTTAATGTGCTCCTTGGCCTTCCTCTTTTCCTTTTGCCTTGAGGGTTCCATGTGAGGGCTTGTCTCGTGACGCAGTTAGGTGCTTTTCGTAGTGTGTGTCCTATCCACTTCCACTGCTTCTTCCTGATTTCCTCCTCCACTGGAATCTGGTTTGTTTTCTCCTACAGTACGTTGTTTGCTGATCGTGTCTGACCAACGAATCAGAAGTATTTTGCGTAGACAACTGTTAATAAACACAATGGATAATAATACAGCCCCACTGATCAGACCTATGATTTACTAGTTGAAGGCCAATTAATAAAAGATAGATCTGTTATCCTATGTAATATTCTACAGTAAAATTAAACATTTTTCATCAGTACCCACACTAGTATTGAAAGCTTATCTCATTTCTATTCTGTTTTCAAATCCTTTTCGCTTGATGTTCATCTGTTAAAGATTATAATTTACCGACTAATTATTCCAGTTATTCATTTTCTTATTTAGTGCAGATTAACAATTATTCAGATTTGACAATATTAGCAAAATATTCAGTAAAAATAACTACCAGTATATTCTTAAGATAATAATGAATGTTCAGTATGGTAGAATTTGTAAAATAGATGAAAGTTTTAACCACGGACATAATGCATGAAAGTTAACTGGTCAGATCATTGGATCACAATTGAAAATAAAAAATATTGAATTACTCATATTCAAACATTGATCAATGAATATTTCATGTTTGTCTGCTTTTTAGTATTGAACAAGTTAGAATATGGTCACAAGTCTAAGTGGTTCGATTTTACTTTCATTGACCTCCTTGTTAAATAGCTATGGGGGAAATAATTAGAAAAATATATTAACCTGAGTTTCGTTCTAGCCTGAATTCTTGTTAGAAAAGGGTAACTATAAACTTCAGAGAACTAATATTACCTTTGAAATTTGAAGACTCATTCTCCTGATTGGTAGTTAGAGACACCACTATTGAACTGTTTGTGCCTTAGCCGACCTGTAAGGCTAAGATATTAGAAATGTTGTCGACCGAATAACTCAATGAGAATGTGTCAGATTGTGGAACTGCGTGATGTAGACTCCAAACCACAGGTAGCATCGATCCTTACTGACATGTACCAACTGATATGAATTCTGGACCATAATCTCTCTACTATCCTCAATCATCTAACATCAGAATATACAGACTGAACAGATTAAGTATCTTATCGGTTAGCATTTCCTAAATCATCCCAATCTGATGTTAAGTCTTTTGGTTTGAATCAATTGGTTTAACTTTAGATCTACGAAAATCCTATAAGTTATTCGAAGTTGCTTGATGAGTTTGGAATTTCTCCTACTTCATAAAATAATTATCTAATATATTCGAATATGAAAGTACAGTTACACAAAGACTGTCATTTCAGAAGAAAAAAAAAATATGGGTCATTTTATTTAGTCAACCACTATTGAAGTGTATATTATGCATAAAACTCGAATGCAGCTTTTTATTATCAGCGATTGAGTTATGTAGCGTTTTGTATTCACTTCACCGAATGAAATTAAAAACAAACTATGTCAATACAAGACTGGTAATTGTGAACATGTTAAAAAGAACCTATTAAGATAACAAATTAAAAAATAAATGAATTTCATAGAAAATAAATTACAGCGATCAAACGGATGACATTGAAAAAATGTTGTCCCAAAGGTTTTGTATGAGAGCAAATGAATTTTTTCACTGTGAAAATCACAACCTGTGAAGAATGATTAACTTGCGAATGTGGCATCCCCGTGATAAATCTAACAAGCAAAATATAAATGTCGTGATCGTTCGGAATTTTCTACACGCTTCGGTAATTCATCTTTAGGGCTGGTTGACAATTTTAGTATACCCACTAGTCACTTAATTACAGTGATTACTTGAAAATGAATACATATAGTAATGTCATAGCTTTCATCACGTACACTGAAAATTGCTTGAGTTGTTAACAGTGAATCTATAATAAGAAATAATGTTACATGTGTTACCAATGCACATCAACACGTCAATTGATGCGCTTGAACTATTACGAGTTCACCTTAGTCAGTAAACGAGAGCGAGGATCGATGATCGGGCGACACGACAAGCTACTCTAATCCGAGCGTCCCAAACCCCCATTGAGTAAAAGAAGAAGACTTGATATGAAGTAGATTATGTATTATTCTACAAGCATTCAGAGAGTACGAAGTCCGAGTCCAAAAGAGGCTAAGGATCTTGGATCAGGGATCCGAGTCATAAAACATTACAAATAATTCATATTTATACAGTTAAGTCGAATAGGAAACAACATTTGAAGTATATGACACTGATAGTTAGGACGACCAATAGAATTAGACTAACAAAATAATTCTCTTAGGATATTTCATAAATATCCTAACAACATGACTGCAAATACCTACCTAACTTTTCAGAGTTGTCTTTGAAAATTGTTACATTTGTTTAGATGCTTTTGTTTCTGAAACTTCTAGTGTTAGTTGATTACTTTATACTTCAAGATTATGATACATTTATCAGTGGGCTTTATCATTCTTCCTTTTATTTATTTTTTTTAAACACATATTTACTTCATTTTAGATAATCTCAGACGAAGTTTCTCAGTTCGACCGATTAAAACAGACAATTCAGCTTTTACACCTTATGTTTCATGTGCCTCATTAAAACAAGTAACAATACCAGGTGGACTGTTAGAATTTAATTTACATGATGGAAATGATTTCAAAACTCATTATCAATCACGGCATAGTTTAGAACAACGTACTTCAGATACGAATATATTTTCTATATTGAACACTGAACACCAGCAACAACAACAACAATCACAACAATCACAACTATGGAAACGTGAACAAAAACGTAAACATTTTAAAGGTAGTGCACCGAAACGAGCAAAACATGATAATTTCACAGTGAGTTTAATGTTTCACTATTGCTTAACAGGAAATATTGGCTTACTGAAAAGTAGATTTGAGTTTTATATGAAATATTTTGAGGGCGTATTATATGAACAGTTAATTCCAACATATTTTCTTATAAACTAGTCCAAATACATGAATTATGAAAGTGAGAGAGAGAGAGAGAGAGATCGGTTACCTTTATTCATTTTGGTACAGTTGTTTTATGTTGATAGGAATGTTCAAGATATGAGCTTATGTATGACTTTTTTATTCTGAAAAAAATTCATTTACTTTGTTTGTTTTATTGCATCAGTTCAATGACAAACTACTGACAGTCATAATTACAACCTGAACAATACCTAAATAAACTAAATGACATTGATTATAATTCAGGTATTAAACAGCAGATCTAGTAAATACACGAATTTAAATTGTAGAAAATTAACTGAACAAGTTTGACCGGGCATCAACTTTAAACAGTTACGCCTGCACACGTACACACGTCAACCTGGTATGCTTGAACTATTACGAGTTAACCTAGTCGGAAAACGAGAGCGAGGATCGAGGATCCGGCGAAACGACATGCTACTGAATCCAATTATCCCAACCCCCATCTTTAGTTAAAATAAGAAAACGTGATATGAAGTAGAACCTGTATTCTACAAGCATACAGAAAGTACGAGGTTCGAATCCAGAAGAGAATCAGGATCCCTGACTAGGGATCCGGGACCGGGTCCTGGTCATAAAATGTTACAGATAATGCATATTTATACATTTTGGTTGAATTGGAAACAGCATCGAATTCTGTGGCATTGACAGTTAAGACGATCAATAGGAAGTAACCATTTGAAATGACATTGACAGTCCGGATGACCAATAAGAGACAACATTGAAGTATTTGACTTTGCATTGCGGGGTTGTTGTGAAGATTGTTTAGTTTTATTTGTAACCATGAATCTATCAAGTTAGACATTAACACCGTTAGATACCGGCTCAGTAGTCTAACGGTTAGGGCGATCGCGCACAATACCGAAGGTCCTGGGTTCGAATCCTGCGAGGAGCAGGAGTCGTGGATGCGCACTGCTGGTGAGTCCCATACCAGGACGAAACGGCCGTCCAGTGCTTCCAGGTTTCTAATGGTGGTCTAAAATTGATCGACTCATGGTTACAAATAAAACTTAACAATCTTCACAACAACCCCGCAATGCAATGACATGTGTCCACTAGTGACTAGCTTGGTGAGGAATCTTCTCCGAGTTCTAGTGGGGAGTCGTGACCAGTGAAGTTCAAACCTATCCGGATGTATACAGGGTATAAGGTCGCGCAACTCCGTGGATTTGATCAAGTTAGACATTAACACCGTTAGATACCGGCTCAGTAGTCCAACGATTAGGGCGTTCGCGCACAATACCGAAGGTCCTGGGTTCGAATCCTGCGAGGAGCAGGAGTTGTAGGTGCGCACTGCCGATGAGTATTTGACTTTGACAGTTAAAACGACCACAATTTTGACCAATAGAAATCGACGAATAATTCTCTCAGGATATTGGATGGATATCCTAACATGAACTGTCCAGAATATATTTTTTTCTGCATGTGAAATTAAATTTATCCCATTTTTATCTCTACACATCATTAGAATTCAGGCCTATTAGTAATCATATCGGTTAACAACTTTATATTAACTTAGTTTGTATATTTTTCAGATAGACGACTATTTACAGCTAGTTCGTTCGAATAGTAAGTGTTTTTTTTCTGTGTTCTCCTCTAAATATCTCCCGTTCCAGTCGATAGAACAATCACAAGTACATTACACTCCAATACATCAACGAATTGGTATACAACAAAAAGATTTATCACATTCTATACCAAAAACTCAATCAATTTCACGTGAATTAATCACTTTAACTAAATTAAGTCAATCTACAAGTGGTGAATTGTTAGATGCAGAAAATGTAAATTGTTCTCATTATTATAAATTATGTAGAAAAGAAACTAAAAATATTCAACCATCAATAAGTAACATAATGAAAACAATGACCACATTGCCAACAATAACAACATTGACATCAACAACAATATCAATGACACCGATCACATCAACTACTACTACTACTATTACTAATAATAATAATAATAATACACTGAGTAGTAAACAAGAATATTATCATCAGACAAAATTATTTCAATCATCATTATTAGAACCTTCATCAAAAACATCACCATCACCATCATCAACATCAACATCATCATCAGCAGCATCATCAGCATCAGCAAATTGGTTAATAACAACACCAGGTCAAAAACAATGCAGTCGTCAAAAATCCAATTCCCAGCCTCAAGGTGATGATGTCGATGAGTCATCATCATCCTCTTGTTGTGATTCACAAAATGACAGTGACAGTGAAACACTTAGTAGTAATGTGAATGATTTATATCGTCAGCATTCCATAGTTAAATCTAAAACATCATCACTATCAAGAAAAAAAGAACACACTATGCAATCGATGATGAAAACAGTGAAACGAATGAAATATGATCAATTGAATTCAACTAATCAACAACATCATCATCATCATCATCATCATAATAGAACTGGCAAGAAGCATAATAATAATAATAATCAGATCACAGGCACTATCGATATTATGAATACTGATTGTAAACAATTTTTAACAAATCTACAATTAATTGATAATCCTAATGAAATGTTTCAATGTAATTGTAAATTAAGTGCTAATAGTAAATATCATTTTCCATCTAGTTATTCTGTAATTCATGAAACTTTATCCGATGTAAAAATTGACGATAACACTGTTGGAAGTAGGATGATACGAAAAAATGCATCATGGAATGATATGAGTTATAAAAATGGACATTTATACAATCATGACGATGATAATGACGAGGATGATGATGATGATGAAGACGATGACGAATTGGATGAGCAGATAAATGAAAATACTGAACAGTCTTATGAAGTGGATAGTTCTAGCGTTGAACGAGTTGAAGGTAAGTTAAAATCTGTATAATAAAGTTTGTTTTTTTGTTTCTATAGAGAAATAAAAAAACTACATTTAAGTGTGGTGTGTAGAAGTTTGAAATTTTCATGAAAGAAACTCTGTGCATTATTTCGAAATAGTGTTAAATAAAAATTACGATATTCTACATGAATGATTACTATTATCGATAAACATAAAATGTGAGTATAGTATAGTTTTTGATTTCACAAAGAAAAAACCAACAAAAATCCTGTTTACAACCATTTCTTGAGAGTTAAACAATGATTAGATCTAAATTGTGAATGATTTTAAGTAATGTCATTCAAATTATACAACCATAGATTACGAGTAGAATGTGAATTTCATAAACGATATATATACACCCACCTGGTGCGATTCAAACCAACAGTCTATGACATCAGGAACAAATGCTATCTATTATGTAAGCTGTTTCGAACTTGCTTTTTGCTAATTTAATTTGATGCTAGCTGCTATTGCACATTTAAGTAGCTAGTGGTTAGGCATGTAACGTGGACACAAAGCATGACAGATTATCTGCTTATTTGAGTACTTAATTCCAATGGCTGAATCAATAAAATATTGAAATCAAATATGAGCATTGATTTAAGGGAAATAACTAAGAAGCTGCAATTAGCAAACTTACTTACTTACGCCTGTTACCCCCAATGGAGCATAGGCCGCCCACCAGTTTTCGCCAACCAACTCTGTCCTCGGCTTCCCTCTCCAGTTCTGTCCAATGTTTGTTCATTCGTCTCATATCTTTCTCTATTTCTCGGCGTAATGTGTTCCTTGGACTTCCTCTTTTCCTTTTGCCTTGAGGGTTCCATGTAAGGGCTTGTCTCGTGACGCAGTTAGGTGCTTTTCGTAGTGTGTCCTATCCACTTCCACCGCTTCTTCCTGATTTCCTCCTCCACTGGAATCTGGTTTGTTCTCTCCCACAGTACGTTGTTGCTGATGGTGTCTGGCCAACGAATCTGAAGTATTTTGCGTAGACAACTGTTAGTAAACACTTGTATCTTCTGGATGATGCCTTTCGTAGTTCTCCAAGTTTCCGCTCCATACATTAGAACTGTCTTGACATTTGTATTGAAAATCCTGCAATAAGAAAAACTAAATAAAATTTACATTAGCTTAAGTAATGTACACATCAATCTTTCTAACTCAGTAAAAGCCTTTGAGGTTGACACACTGATTAGATATATCGTTGGATTCTTTCGTTCTGTTTAGGATTTCTTATGCACCTTCTGATCCGGTGATGGTATGCGAGCACAGACGCGTGAGACTCCATAGAAGGCTTTTAAGTTAACATTAACTAGTTTTACTTGTACGAAACAAGTATTCAAAACTAAATAATTATTTCACGACGTCAAGATATGTCTGCTACCAAGTAACAATGTTTGAGTATACAAAATGAATAGTTGTAGATGACGACGATATAACCAATTACGGAAGAATGAAATAATCGCTTCGTCAATCAATCAATAGCAACGTAGAACTCCGTTAGGATGTGGGGTTGGCGACCCTATCTCGGAAATACATTATTTGCCAAAAATACGCTAACGAGAAAAATAATTCAAACCATATAAACTCTATTCTGCGGTTACAAGGTCTTCATTTAGAAGAATTATGACATCTCATGACGAAAGACGAGTTCCTTCTGATGACACTTCTGACAACTATAACGTTTCCACGGTGTGGGCAGCGGGGAAGTAACATCCGCCCTCATGCCCATAAAAGCACACGAGACCAAATTGGTCACAATCGAATCGATCCGTCAACTTAGATTGCATATGAACTAGTTGTGTAGCAGTTAAAATGATATGTGTACCTAGTTATTCAATGTTAGCTGCAGACAGAATGGTGAGTTAAACATATATGGAGGTAGTAAAGAGCTTAACGATAGTTGGAGAAGCGTGAATATGAATTATCCGCCGCTTTCATAAGATACGGCATATAATTACGATTACAAAGATGTTCATGTGTGGAATCAATTTAGGTGAACAAACAGGAAACTTAAGTAGGATCCTACTAGATTCGAGCAAATTCATATGTGTAATGGCGAAAAACACTAGAGATTCGACTGACTAGTGTTACCGCAATACCAGTAAGTCAGCTTCACAACAAATGATATCTTTTCTCGCTCCCCTACAATGCAGATTTAGAAATATATCTTCGAATCTAGCAACAGACAGTAAACTTTATAACTCCTGCCTAAATGTGAGTAAAATTTGTTCTCTCTTGTGCATTAACTCACTAAAACATCAGTAAGCATAAGTAACCTAGAACTTTGCATATGCGCATTGGTTCAGGTTGCCGTACCCGACTAGCACAGTGAAATGAAATTATTCGGGGAAATCCTCAGTGTGGCATAGGCAGTAACAATATTGGTCGTAATAGGATTAGGCATACAAGATACGTTTTAAGAATACATTATACGAACGGATGACGTGGTAAGACCAAGGTTAGAGAATTCGCTCATACTTTCTCGAAGAGTTCTAACCTCATTGAAGTCCTACATTTCGCTACCGAGAAACAGTCTTTGAAAATGAATAACTTAACAGTGACACACTGTTGTTGCAGATGAAATAACGACGTATGGTGCTGTTTCATTGAAGAACTAGCTAATGACGACGATAATAAATAAATAAATATTTAGTCAGTCGGTTGCAACGTAGAACTTCGTACGTATGTACATAAGTTCATGTTGCGATACCACATTGGCACAAAGACGCAAATGTCAAATCAAATCCCGTAGTGATGAAGATAGTAGAGGTATTAATGTTATAATAAAGAAGACTAGGGTTTAAGATATTATTCAAAAAATATAATTCAGTGAGATAAGGTTAGAAAGACTAAGGTAAAGGTGCTGACGATTCCAGATTAGGATTTGAGAGAGCTCAACGAATGGGTGCACTTGCGCCATTGCAAACGATTTTGAGCCATGTCGTTCAAGGTCTCTAACCACTGATGACTTTCGTCTCGCGGACCCCAACCAGGTAGTCTACATCTATCAACATGAGTGAGTCCACTTGTCAGTGACTTCATGGATCTGTCATGTTTTGGTCTGGCCGCCCCTAGCTTTCTTCCGACCAACTTTTACACCACAAAACATAGCTCGTCGAGGCAGTCGGCGGTTAGCCATTCATAACACATGTCCCAACCACCTCAATATAAATAAATATTGGTAATTGTACAACATAACTCTCTATTCTGTAACCAGATACGTCATCATTGAAACTTGTATTTTACTTAGATTCAAACGGATTCATCAATTCACAGAACAACCAGTCCCCTAATGCGACTATATCACCTGACGGTAGTACATCCGACGAATCGCAGTGTCATTTGAATATGAACAATCATACTACACCTATGAAACGATTTCACCAAACAGCTGTGGTTATAATTACTTCTAAAGGTCGAACAGTTCAATCCACGAACATAGAATAGCTATTATGAATTTTTATTCAAATGAAATATGCCGCAATGCAGCAATACTAGACGCCTAACAAACTAATACTTTCCGTTCCAAGAAATTTGTGTATTTAATGAAAAAAATTATTGTTTATCTTTTTGTTGTCCTACCGGTAGTAATAATTTAAAATACTAGAAATTAAACTTTTATATGATAAATTGTTTTATTTTTCATATGAATGCAAAGACATACAACAATGGGATAAGAAATTTTGAGAGTTGACAGATTTTGATCAGCCTACTCCACAAATGAAGGGTTGTAAGAATAGATTAGGCACGCTGAAAATACAACAAAATAAAAAGATACAACTTAGCATGGTAAAAATTATTGAATTTTGGTATATTGGAAAAAAAAATAACAGTTAACAAGTTTACAGCGGACCAACAGTTTCGCAAAGAATAAATTAGATATAAATAAGTACACTATATAAACACAAGTGTTTGCGATGTATGCACACACAATGAGAGGGAGTCAGAAATAGGAATCAAAATAATAGTACTATTGGTAGTGATGAAATTTATGCGAATTGGAAGGAGATAGAAAATCAAATCGTCAAGTTATCCAGTGGGAATCTGTTAGGCAATAGTAAGAGACAGTGATAACTGTTAAAGCAAATTGAACCGAAAGGTTAATTCCAACGGATCAATAGACCTTCAATAACTCATATTTTGGAAGGCTTCAAACACAAAAATGAGCAGATGCGACTTAAATTTAGACTGGAAAATTCTTTAGACAGTGACAGTGAAGGAATGGTGAGGAGATGCACAAAAAAGCTTGTTAAAGTGGCTATTTACGAAACTATTGTTGAAAAACAGTACAAACCAACGTATATTGGGGGACTGGGAAGATGACTGGAACACTAAGAAAGTTCTCTATAAAATGTCACTATCCAATAACAAAATGAATATTTTCACTGACCTTTCAACTGGAAGAGAAGTTTAGCGCAGTCTTGAAGTGAGGGAGTGGAAGGTCCTGATTCGTGAATTCCGTGGGGATCTTTAGGGATTGTCTCAATAGGTAACTGCATAACTTTCTGTGAATCAGTCTCATAACCAGAAACTCTAAGTAACTTACTAAACAAGTGACAGGCCTGTGCTTTACTATGATGAAATCTAAACATTTGAGTTCTAGCAGACTGGTGTATGGGTTTTCCTCCATCTAAGTGAGGAATGTTGCATTATTCGTCACATCAGCGTCGATGAGTAACTAAATCTCAGCACCAATTTAAGCCCGCTCGGCTTTTGGGAGCGTTTGCTGAATCAAAGTACGAGTATGCTGAGCACTTGAATTTGCACCTTAAAACAAGAATGGCCTAAACAAGCACATGTATAAAGTTTTCTTCGACGCTGCCACATGACTACTTAAACTGGAAGTTGTCTGAGATTCTGAAAGCTCATATTTAGTTATTGCAGTTGGAAACTCTGACAATAAAAGCAAATAGATTGGTCGAAAGTAAGAGAGACGTAATTATCAAAGTAACCCTATAACCTGTATCGTCGTAAAATTCGGAAATAAAGCCAAGCAATAAATGTGATGCATCCCAGGCGAAGTTAGTAAGACAACTGATATAACCAAGATCGTGTTTTAACCCAAAGTCAAACTTATAGACATCTTTAGCAGAAAACATAAGTTAAACCTGTCTTGTCAAATACTTCATCCAGCAAAGCACTATTGATCTGACCTGATAGATGTGTATGATGTAGGCATAGCATTAAAAAATAGGGTAAAATTAGCTCTCTTAGACTAAATCCCAGTAGATACTCGGTTGTGTGCTGTCCGACTAAACGGTAAATACTTGGAAAGATAGGGACACTCGCCATTGCCTCTTCGTTGTATCTGCCTACGCTCCCACTGACTGCAGCTCGGAAGAGGTAAAGATGACTTATAAGAAAAATCTTTCTAATCTTCTTCAAAAAGTTAAGCGCTCTGATATAATAATAGTGGCTAGTGACTTCAATGTCAGTCAATTACAGCGTAGAACCTTGTACGGACGTACATATTCAAGTAAATAGACTAAGTGAAAAGGAAAAACACGTGGGTGGATCTTATAGTGTTGCCGCTCAAAGAACAGATAATGGTGATCGTCTGCTGTAGCTATGCTCAGATACGCCTGTTTTTAGCAAATACTAACTTTAAGCAATAAGAAAAACATCTTTGGACTTGGCGACCCTCAAAATCGACGCGACTAGACCACATTGCTACGAGCCACCGACGGAGACTTTATAGTAGACTGTTGCTCGTTCTGATGCACACGTTTAGATTCAGATCATGCTCTAGTACGAGTGCATATTTGTCTGTGTTTTATTAAACGTAGGAGAGACACTGCATGGGGACCTCTTACGGTTCTACCTAATGATAGCAAAGCTAAAAATATAGTTCAGCAGCAACTGTGAAAACAGTTAAGCAGCCGTTTAAGTGATGTCCACTCGGTGGCAGCTTGGAATGATACCTAGAGAGCTGTGAAAACAGCAAAGATATATGCTAGTAAGGTAATCCATAACGCTAGGGAGAAACAGTGGATTTCAGTAGATGCTTGGAAACTCATCCCATCTGGCTCTGAACACGATGAGAAATTTAGTCAGCTTAAGAACAAACTGATAAGAAGTCTATGGAATGAGCGTGGGTGGGTGGCGAAAGCCAGGGATGGGAAACGCAGCGGCGATAGGTAAGAGTGGACAATGTTCCGATTATCAAGGGAACTGGTACTAGGAATCTGACCGTTAGAGAGATTATCAAAATACCAAAGAAAGGAGATCTTAGTAAGTGTGGGAACTTCTCTCAATACCATGGAAAGTCTTCAACAGGGTATTGTTAAACAGAATGAAGGACTTCGTAGATGCACAACTTCGAGCTCAACAGGCTGGACTTCGTAAGGATCGATCGTGTACCGACCGAATCGCAATAGTACGGATCATTGTGGGACAATCAGTTGAATGGAACTCACCACTACATCAACTTCATTGACTAAGAGAAAGCATTCGATAGAGTGGGACGGAAAACACGACGGAGGCTTCTTCGACACTACGGTGTGCCTAAGACAGTCAAGATCATACGGAATTCCTATGATGGATTGAACTGCAAGGTCGTGTGCATGGAGGACAGCTGACAGACTGGTCTTCGGTGAAGATCGGTGCCAGGCAGGGCTGCCTACTCTCACCCTCTCTCTTTCTCCTGGTGATATACTGGTTTATGAAGATGTCAACAACTGGAGAAAAGCACAGTATCCAAGGGACAACTAGGATGCAGCTGGACGGTTTGAACTTCGCGGATGATCTGGCTCTTCTATCGCACAGGCAACAACAAATGCAAGAAAAGACGACCAGTGTAGCAGCGGCCTCAACAGTAAGAGTAGAGGATATACGTAGGTTACTACAACTTGATCATAGGTGTTTTAGAAGCATTGTTTGTATATCCTTGCATTGCACAAATCCATTAAGTCACAGACAAGTGGTCAGTCAGAAACAACATAAAACTTCGTAGGTACGTACATCAGTTCAGGTTGTCATACCACATTACCACAGAGATGCAACTGTCACTTCAAATACATTTTAGTAGAGCAAGTAGAAGTGTTAGCAGTAATTAGGATTTGAGAGGACACAAAGAATGAGTGTACTTGTGCCCTTGCAAACGGTCTTAAGCCATGTCATTTAGAGTCTCTAACCATCGATTACTATCGTCTCGCGGACCCCAACAAAACAGTCTATACAAACCGACATGGTTCAGTCCCGTTGCCAATGACTTCATGGATTTCTGCCGTGTTTTGGCTTAGGTTTCTTCCAACCTACTCCTACACCAAAAGACAGGTCGACGATGCAGTCTTTGGTAAGACATAACAACACATGTCCCAACCACATCAACTGATGAAGTTTTAACACTTCATCTACTGACCTGCCACCCTTACCTAGGACCTGTTTCCTAACATCATCGCTTACTCGGTTGTCTCACGATACACGACTAGTGCTTCGGGGACGCCTTTGAGCGGAAACCAGCCAATTACCAATACCTTCTACTCTGACTGGCTGTTTCGCAGCCATAAATATGACACAGCGAACTACTGCGCAGTACACTTGTCCATTAATAAGTAAACCGATATCTTGTCTGTGCCGTAAATGATGCAAGTTGGCAAAAGCCAATCGAGCCTTCTTTATCCGTGCTGAGATCTCGTCACAAACCAGGTCATCAGCACTGTTGAGACTCCTTAGATAAGTGAAGCGGTCAGTACGCTCAACCGTTTCACTCCCTATCACTAGTTTAGGTGCCGATTCAAGCCAATCGTGAAGCAACATTTTGCATTTTGACGGAGAGAGTCGCATCCCCAATATGCTTGCATTATTGCTTAGGGTAGTCACAAGACTGAATTTTGTCACCAGTGTCATCAGTGAATCTACTAGTAGAAGGTTCACTTCTAAAAGTCCAGACAAAGATAATGTTATATCTAGAAGCATATCTATGTCAAAATTAAACAAGGATGGAGAAAGTGGACATCCCTGACGGACACCAATTGAAGTAGCCAATTCAGATGACGGTTTAGCACAATCTCTAACTCGACCTGTAGTGTTCGAGTAGAGAGCTTTTATAAGGTTAATGTACTTCTCTGGTACACCTTTTAATGACAAACACTGCCACAAAACCTCACGATCAGTCGAGTCAAATGCCGCCCTAAGATCATGGAATGCAACTATTTCCAGATATCTAAATGTGTGTGTCGTAGTGTGAATATCTGGTCTATACGTCCTCGGCCAAGCCTGAAACCAGATTTATTTTCTCTAGTTTGCTCTTAATGTGCTCTAGTTAGGCGTCGAAGTATTTGCGAGGCTAACAATTTAGACACGATCTTAGTCAGACTGATTCTTCTGTGATTGTCACAGGAGGACTTTTGTCCTTTCTTATAAATTGGGACTATCAGTGATTGAGACCAGTCGGATAGGATTACATCCAGTTCCTAAACAACACCAAAGATCTCAATCATTGCAACTGCTAAAACTGGACCACCATCCATAAAAATCTCAGGGGTCAATCTGTCAGCACCCGCTGCTCTCCCTTGCTTAGGATTTCCTGTCGGTTTCTCAACTTCATAAACAACCGATTTGTCATTCACTTAATTATACTTCTTGTATATCTTCGAACCCTAATCTAATCCATTATCGCTAATACTTCTACTATTTCTACCACGAATTCGAACTGACAATAATGTCTTTGTGCTAATGTGGTACAGCAACCTGAACTTCAGTCAGTTACAGCGTAGAACTTCGTACGTAAGTACATAAGTTCACGTCGCCATACCGCATTAGCACGTACATAAGTCTACGTTGTTGCTAACAGATGTTTAGGTTCAAGTTATCAAAATTTATATCCATACAGCATGATTTCAACACGAAAAGCAGCTAATAAGAAATGAAAAACGCGGTTAAGAAACAAATACGAACGGGTGGAAATTTCAGTTAGTCAGACAGCTACAACGTAGAACTTGGTACGTATTTACATCAATCCAAGTGGCCATAACACATCACATAGAGATCAAATCATCAATTTCAATTCCATGTTAGTAAAGGTTGTAGCAGTATTAACGATCATGGAAAAGATTAGGGATCTAAGATATGATTCGAGAAGCATATGCCAGTGAAATTTAAGGATTAGAAGTTCAGAGAAGATAAAGAATGGATGCATTTACGATGGCGGAAATATAAGAATGATAGACAAAACTTAGCGAATGTATTTGAGACAGTCACTGGTTTCAGAATGCCACACCCACGATGATTGATTACAAGTACTAAGTGGATATCGGTTAAGAATTTTGCACCTTCCAAGATGGCTCAGATCAATGAACTAAACAAAATGCTGCCAGGATAATACAAATTCCTGATAACAATAAGGAGTCATTTCCTACGTATATATTATAAATGTTTAAGTAAGATTGTGCAATGCAGATTAAAAACTACCTACTTGTTTATTTAGCAGGTAAGAAAACAGTGATACTTTCGAAGGACCTAAATTGTTATTTCACTACACACTGAGCGACAAGAGGATTTTAGACTAGTGAAACCTTGAGGAACACTTGAAAACAGTTGTACTCATGGTATAGTAAACTGCATCGCGCAGATGTCAAATACATGAGATATTGTCAAGTATGAATGGAATTCTAAGCCCTGATGTAGTTGCACATCAATGTTGACGAATCGAATGGAGACATCTTTTTTAGCCCTAACAACGCTTTACCATGTAATAAAATACTCCAGGACTCATTTGAAGAACAACCTACCATAAACTGTTTTTATGACTTAAATTTAGGAGACAGATACGCAAAAGGCTTCGTCTAGGTGTTCGAGAAAATTAAACAAACCAGGACAAGTGAACCAAACAGTTAAGACTTTTGACCTTTAAAACCTTATGACAGCAATATACAAATTACCTGGGCATTATAAGCAGCCAACTGTGCGTCTAACTCTTCTTTAGTAACTGTAGGTTTTTGAATTCTCCCGCGACCACGTGCACGACCTCGGCCACGTCCAAAACCCCGACGCATTGGAGAACCACGAGGGCGAGTAACACGGGGACGTGATGTTACAGTAGTTTCAACAGCTTGAGGAATAAAATATACGTCAATTAGTGAGCTTGCACTAGTACCACAATTGTTGCGATATTATTATCGGGACGAAATTTAATCTTAGTTCATTATGTGCACAGTTCAAGTTCCTCAGTACCAACGTAAAACTTTAAGCTCAATAATCCACTATGCGATCGACAGATTTTTCTGCAGAATACATGATGCGGTAGATATTAAATCTTTCTAAGTGACAACACACTCAAAAAATTAATAAAAACTAAGAAAACCTCCCTGCCCATGACAATAGTGATACCAGAACCTCGAGACAACGGCGAATTCCACTAAGCTCCTCGCCAATGTCCAAACATTTGATAATGACGGTGAAAATCGGCGAACGAAAGTGGATTTGATCCATAGTTGGTAACACCATTAATTATAAGTTTTATACATTCCAGCAATAGAAAACAACAAAAACATATACTGGCAGCACGTCAATACGGAAGCATTATCTTCCCATATATAGTGGAACATCACTGAATGGTAACCAAATCAATAGTTGCAACTGAAGTGATTTCCTGGTCGACGTGGCTGACTGAGTGTTGACTAACCTGCACCGACCAACTGAATGACCATTGGGCGTCCATCAAGCGGTACACCATTGTAGTGATTTTTGGCTTTTGTTGCACTCAAGGGGTTGAGAAAAACGACTTCTGCGGTGCCAAGAGAACGACCACTTCTATCATAATGGACAGTAGCCTTCCGAATTGCACCGAACTCCCGAAAAAGTTCCTACGAGATTAGAAATTGTTAGGACACCTACATTTATATCATCATTATTTACACCGAAATCCAGGTTTGAAATGTGTAATCTTGTTGCATTTCCACCCGCATTACCAGCTCCTTTTGGGCTACGACCATCTTGAAACATATCGTGCTGCCATTTGTCAGGTAAAGCTCGTGACTAAAGAATGAATACATAGTGGACGTAAATACCATTCCGTTTGTGTTCCGTCGCGCAACTCCACCACGACGGACACCTCTCAATGATTCACCGCCTCGACCACGGCCACGACCTCTGCCTCTGGTGACTCGGATGCGCTTTTGTTGAATAATGTCATCAAGGCTTTGGTCCATTTTAGCTTTAAAACCTCGCCACTTTACACAGTCCCGCCAAGTCCAACTTTTGCGTTCAATATTCAACCGTTCAAATAACAAGCTTATCAATGCTTAAAATACAATATTTTTTCTCGAGCTAGTACAAACCAGTTGATTTCACTGCACTTGATTCTCGTTCTTTTGTTAGGGTTCCAGGTATTTTGTATTATCCAGTGGATGGGGCTCTAGCCATCATTTCGCTGTCGGTTGTGCGTTTGTATGTCCAGTGATTTGAATGAAAACGTTTGTTTCAGGGTGACACGGTTAGTACGATAATCCGTTTGTTAGTACCTGATTTTTGTGGTTTTGTAAAAATTCAGAAACAGTTATTGGAATGTTTCTTCAGGAAAATCACGGAGATGAGTATATAAACTTAGTGTTTCTCTACCAGTCAAAAGATTCTGAACAGCATCAAATTGTGGACAATATCTAGGATATTTTTGTACATTCCTGGTTTGTGTGGCTACATTAAGCCCGTCCACATACACTGTTCACATAGATGGATGTAATTTACCTGTGATAGTTTTACCTGCTCCATTTACCCCAAACCAACCAAAACACTCTCCTGAACGGATGGTTTATTTTTGAGAGGAAAATATTTAGCTAAAATAACCACTTCAATTAAACTTAAGGAGTTGATAAGACCTAATTCATCAGCCTACATAACTTACCATTTGTTGGTATCCATTTAGGAGTGAAATAAACCACGAATATAGTGGGTTACTGATTCGGAATGACTTAAGTTTAACGAGCAGTCTTTGTGTAAGACCTTATCAAAATCTTCCTTGAGGTCGGACAATTGGACTGTCAGTAGTAGCCCTTGTGTTTCGTTTTCTGGTTATATCATTCCGATAGTCTAATAGGTATGTGCGCATGACCTGGACCGCAGGAACTCATGCTGGGAGGTCGAGACGCGATTGTTATTAGAGAGGTGTTGCATTATTGTTGCCTTTACTGCTTCCTCCATCACTCTAGATAATGTTGAGGTCATATTTATACGTCGATAGTTTCTACACTTGTAGGGGGGCCTGATTTAATTTCTGTGGTAATATGCGCAATATTCCAGATATTAGGGTCACACTCCGTAGAAAGCAGCATGGTTGATTGCTTAAGAAATACACCGTGGATAATCACTTCCACCTATCCGCATGCTTGTGAGGCAATCTCGGGAGTTTTTCCAATTTACCTAACAAAAGCCCCTATGAAAGGTGCTGGTCTGCAGTTTTTTGTTTTTATATCAAAGCTTCACATGAAGATATTATGATCGCTTCTTGGTAACTTCTTTCAAATATATACATTATTGGGGGTGGGATTAATGGTGAAGACCAAATCTAAAATATTGTGTTGCTTCAGATATTATTATAAGTGATAGTTGATAAAGAGATGCATACATGACTAAATCTGTCCTCTTATTACGACAGGGCTGATTTCTGGCCATTTCGAAAGGGCATCGACCACATCTAAATACGTAGTCACTTTTTTCGGACCCGCGAAGTCGACGCGTATCCTAGACTAAGGGTGATCAGATTATGGCCATAAAACTGGAGGAAATGTGGCATTCGACTTTGCTGCTTGCTGACACTGCATGCATTTCCACCCAACGCAGGGATATATTGATCCATTAGAGGACATTGTGCGTAACTCCTGGCTATGGACTTTATTCGCTTAATCCCGGATGGAACTGTCTCAGCACGTTTGCTTGAAAGGATTTTGGCACAACCAATTTTTCTCCAACGCATTGTGATACAGCTGTTTCATATCACCATCAAAACTCTTAGACGTCCAACCGTTGGTGAGATAGCTCATCGTCATCTTGATGATGGGGTCGTTTATAGGAGCAGTTTGTATGCCTGCTGCAGACACCGTAAAAATCAGTATTGAGTTTGTCATATAAAATTCCGCATGGTCTTCCGTTGAGGGAGATATGATAACCACATTTTCCCCAGCTGCAAAACGACCCTTAATGAGTCGTGATAAAGCATCTGCCAGACCTAATGTTGAGTGCGTCGGTATTGGATCTGGAGATCATACCCCAAGAGTACCTAAGCTCATCGCTGAAGACGATTTACAGAATGGGCTTGAATGCCAGAATTTAACCTGAATATTTCAAGAAGGGGCTTGTTATCTGTAGGAAGTGTGAATCTCCGATCGTACAAAAACTTGCGGGAACGGCAAACAGCAAACACGAGGGCAAGAGCCTCTTTCTTTATCTGCCTATTTTTCTTTTCTGCCGGTGTTAGTGTGCGTGATGCATTACGGCTTCCTCTGAAGCTTATGGAAACTGATATGAAACAATAACACCTATACATACGCTGAATCGTCTGCCGCTATGATAATCAGCAGGGATAGATCGTAGTGCGTTAACAACAATTCCGAGTTAATTATGGATTTGTGTTTACGAAACGCCTCGTCACGTTCTTTAGTCAAGTTCCAAGTGCTGTTTTACTGCAGTAGACAATTCAATGAAGCACGAATATCATGCATCGAAGGGGTGAGCGCACAATTGGAGCTTATTTATACGCTGATTGATCAACCAGTGACAGTCAAGGATAATATCTGTAGATACAAACACTACGACGTATTCAACTTTGGTGAGTTCTTCGAAATCGTTATTATTATTCAAGGCCCGTTTACGCCGAAGGCAAGCTAACTGGTTAAGCCTATCGTCAATTTTGGCAAGCGAGTTTTGTAACTATCGTATATCTCAGTCATAGTGATTCGGATGATGATCCGTACGCGTGAATAACCTGACGCCTTGGTTTGTGAAATTTTAGTTTTTGGCTTCACAGGATTATACTGATGTCTATGCTCTATGAACATTTGGGTTTACGTTGGTATAGTACCTCTTACTGTTCGTACACAAAATGAAGACATGAAAGGGTTTTCATGCGGGGTATCGGTTGGTGAAAGCAAATTTTTTGGATAAAGGTGATGATATTACTTTTCCATATCAACCACGTGTATGACTGATGTTTGTAAACTTGCACTGGTTTTACTCCCTGCCGAAAATCCCATGACAAGCTGATCCATGCAATTATGTGTTAAGAGATTTCACTCGTGACTTGTTGAACAACGGTGGTAAAACACAGGAGAAAAAAATAATCAAGTTAATATCACCAAAGCGTCATATCACTGTTCACGCTTTATTATATTCGCTAAATCAACATGAATTCTGACAACTTGCTTCTTTTTAATCGCCTCCATTCACAAGATTATTTGCCTATTCGTAATCTACTAGTTACTTGTCTTTATTAACCTACGCAAATTCAGATAAAGAGTTAGTGTTCAATTACCAAAAAAGAAACGCCGTAGTAATCATACCGTAGTATTATTCATAAACGTATCTGTTGAGTCACGACTCAGCTTTGGGCAAGAATACTTACTGTTCACTTCTCGCTTCATTCTATTACTTTATCAGCACCTCATAATAATAATAATTATCAGTAATTAATTCTGAAATAACAACAAGTTACAAGAGGCATGCCATTTAACAGGCAAGATAAAAATATTAAAATTGCAAACGTATTTTCCGTAAAAGGATATTCAGTTACTGGAATATTTAACAGGATACATCGGCTTCATATATATCGCTAGAGGTTTTCACGAAATTAGAGCTAATTGTTTCGACTTTGCAATGTGCAATGCAATAGTTGGCTCGAGTTACTAAGGTTACGTTATGACGAACCACTAATGACTGACAACCTATGGAAGGCAAATCTGGGTCTGAACATAACAGGAATGACTGAGGTTATTATAAAAAGATGTTTTTTTCTTGATGTTTGTCAGATAATAAATTCACAGGCTCCTAGTAAAAAAAAACCAATTATCCAGACTTAGGAGTTCAGTGAGGTGTTGAAAAAGAGAAATGAAGAGAATGGAGCGAGGAAAAGAAAAGAAAATATTCTTGTATAAAACAAAGGTATGATTACTCAGATCGTTTTTATATTAGAACACAAAATATACACCAGCAATTTTGCAGATTACTGAAGACTATTTACTAATGAAATAACAAATCGGTAACTAATCGTGTGAATAGAAGAAATACATAAATATTATTTTGTTAGAAGTAATACTTATTTCCCGAATATAACGACAGAGTTGTTGTGAGGTTAAGAGTGGATTGTGAATTCGGAAAAAAACAGTTCTAGAAGTTTAGATACGCGCCCTGCCTGAATATCCAAAAGAGAAAGCAATTTATAAGGGTAAGAAACGGTTCTATTAATTATTAAAATGTGTAGATAATTACCTAAATAATTTTACATTGTTCTCCATCAAATTTAACACAGTGCGTTTCCAATTCTGGAAGAATGCTTCCAGATAGGTCCAAAATTGCCCCCTTTCAGTCCAGATTCACGTATTACCCGCTAGGGTATCAAATTCGATATGGCTGAAACCATAACTAAGTATCAATTTAAAAAACGTAATACAGTCCAGTATAAAACATAGAAACTCCAATAAACGTACAAAAATAGAAACTATGACAAAATACAAATAATAACATCACAATATGGGATTAAACATAGTACCAAAATGCAGCACACATGAAGTAAGAACATATTACAAATATATACATGGAGGAAATTTTCCCAAAACAAAGCCTTCAAAATGGATTCTACATGGACCTGCGAAATTTCTCCATACAAAGCAAAGCCCTTTAGGTGCCTTTACTCATGGTTCACTCTCATAACTTAATACACAACAGAAGAACGAGTAGGGCTTACAGATGTACGTCAACTCGCCTTCCAACATGGATACGACCTATCAAGCTCACTACGTACCTGTACCCTTCCATCAGGATCTTGATCCCTCTGTCTATCGTAGCTATTCTCATCGACTCCAGAATCAACATAAGTTTCAAATTGACGCATAAATTTCCAGTATCGACGAGGTTGTTCACCAAACTTGCTTAACTCAGCCTTTGGTAAATCTAGGCCTACAATCAGCGCTAAGTACATGATATAACGCAAAGTTTGATGACTGTTCTAGCCTTACCCTAGCAGTATTGAATTGAATAGAGTAAGGCTGGGATAAGCGAAAAATTCTACTTCTTCAAATGTTGCTTAGAACTGTAAGCTTAATTGTGGATTCTATAGGGATTACTTTACTATTAGCACCATGGAAAGTCTTCAACAGGGTATT